CTTAGGGGCGCCGGGTCCTTGATTAAAGGCAGCCGGCCTCCCCGCCATCGCTCAGTGGGAGGCGCGGGGCTGCCAGCCGGGCGGGGCGCCGAGACTCCGCCGAGACCTCGCGCGGGCTGCCAGCCGGGCTGGCGGCGGGGATGGCGGCTGGCGCAGGCACACCACCCTTCGCCTGCTTAATTCTTGAACGCGTCGGAACGAATCGTTTAGAGAAAAAGAAAATACAAACTTTGTACGTAGGGGTTGGCCTGCCTGGTACTTCTTGCACGCGGCGTCACTCTGGCTGCAAAAGATCATGCAAACTCCATGTACTCGTACTTGAATTTTTGTATCGAGTTTTCCCCGTTTTCATGACCGTTTAATCGACTAAAAGGGTCATCCACCGCTGGCCGGGTCCAGGCCGGGTCCAGCTCCCTTCCCCATCTTCTGTTTACCCTCCCCTCACCCTCCCCTTCTCTCTTTCTCTTCGGTCGCCGACCGTCGTTTCGGGCGGTGACGGTCCAAGCCACCTCGCCCCCTCCCCCTTCCGTTCCGCTCGCATTTGCATATTGATAACGGACCATTAAGCGTGGCGCTGATTAAGACGAGAGCCTCCCCCCCCCCACTTTTCCCCGTCCCGGACTGCCCCGGCACAAGGCTCGGTCAGGCAGCGGCCAGCTCCCCGTCAAGCTTCGCGCGAGATCGCTCAAAAACAGTTTCTGATAATGGTTGGCTCATTTTCACTGAGAATTCCCCCTGTCCTTTTCGACTCCCACTCCACCACCACTGAAACAAAGGTGTTAATTCGCAAGAGTGCTGTAGACATTGTGGAGGCAGTGCCTTTGATAAGGCGGAAAGGTGCTGAAAAAGGGTCCAGCATTTGGCCGTTTTAATACCTTTGTGAAGGCTTTATTCACATTTTCCGTCCAACTTCGATTCTTTGTACTGGAAAAAGGAAAGTGTCAGGTCGCACCATTGGGGTTCTATTTTTTGTAGTTTATGCCTTTGCAAAGGCACTAACATGTCGAAAAGGTGTTAAAGGTGTACTTTTTTGACAGTTTTAATGCTTTTTGTAAAGGTACCTAACCCTCCTCACCACTTTCTGGTGTAACTTTTAAAACCTTTTTTTACCAGTGTGGGTAAGAATTGAATCCTGTTTCTTTGAAGTTCACGATTTTGGTTGACGACATGGTTTTTTTCCTATTCTTTTCAGGTCTCAAACTGGTTCGGAAACAAGCGGATACGATACAAGAAAAATATCGGCAAGGCGCAGGAGGAGGCAAACCTTTACGCTGCGAAGAAGGCTGCCGGCATGGGCGGTAGTGACGACAGAGGTGAGTGTGACGATTTCTCTGGTGTGTCACGTGGGACTAGTGTGACGCGCCATGTGTGACTTGTGTGACTGGGACGCGTCACGTGACGCGTGACGGCGGTTTGTCTGCTGCTTGTTTGGCGCGTCACGTACGTGTCTTCTTAAAGGCGCCTTGTGGCGGAGAGGGAGCGGGGCTTAGCTCTGATTCTTACCTCCCTCTCTGTCTGTCTCTCTCTCACTTTTTGTTTCTTTCTCTATTCCTGTATCCCTTTTCTTCTCTCACTAAACACTCTTCACTGCAACAATTGAACTGCAATGCCTATTTTAGTAAAAAAGGGTATATTTTGGGAAACACAAAAAAAGAAAATTCCAACAGCAGTGTTGTCACAACCACACATTTCAATTTTGACATTTTGACCGTTACGTTTTGTGTGGACGCAATGATGGAACCACATATTTTAATGTCTAAAAAATCGTGAGGATTTTTGTTTGAAATGATTGCGGCAGTTGCTGCACGTCTTCGGGTGTAGACTGAGAAGAGGGGAAGGGTCTGGCTGGGGGTGATAACGGAAACAAGAAAGGGGTGGGGGTGTAGGAGGTTGGGGGGTTGGCCCCGCTGATAAGACGGCAGCAAGGAAACAAAAGAAACCGAACTGAAGCGAGCCAAAGGATTGCGGCAAAAGGAGGGGGGGGGGGTCTACGCAAGGCTAGAGGGATAGACCGAGAATCTCTATCCTGTTCTATACATGCCGTTCCATCGCGGCCCTCAATGGCGAAATATGTTACGTATTTTTAGCAGATGATGTTTTTTTCGTTCTTTTAGCCAAGGGACCTTAACAGTTGTTTAAAATTGTCCTTTTTCTGAGGAAACCCCCCACCCACTCCCACCTCTTCTCTATCAATCTCCATCCCTATCTCTCTTTCGCGGCCATTAGCCTTTGTACGCCAACGTCTGTAGAGTGCAAGAAAACACTGCAGGCGGTCGGTGAGCGCGCCGCGGGGGGTCGGCCGCCGCCGGCCTAGCCGGGGGGATCGCCTCGGTGGTCAAGATAGCTTTTTAGTGGAAGCTAACTGATGCGGGGGGAAGCTGAGGGACCGCGCCCCACTCCCTGCCCCCCGGGCCCTGATTTACTGCAAATGCGCGCTGGTCTCTCTCTCTCTCACTCTCTCTCCCTCTCTCTCTCTCTCTCTCTCTCTCTCTCTCTCCCTTTCTCTCTCCCTTTCTCTCTCCCTCTCCGTCTCCCCCCCCTCTCTCCCCCTCTCTCTCCCTTTCTCTCCCTTTCTCTTCCTCTCTCTTCCTCTCTTCCTCTCTCTTCCTCTCTTCCTCTCTCTTCCTCTCTCCCTCTCCCCGTCTCCCTCCCATCCCTCCCCTGGCGGGGCCCAGGTCAGTTCTCGATAAGACCCCCCGGGGGGTGGGGCGTGGCGGGGCGTCGTGGCGGTCGGAGGGGGCCCCCTGTGGGGGGTGCCCGGCACCCTTCTGGGGACTCAACCTCG